TTTCATTTATCTCGTGGCAGGCGTACCACCCGCTCCCATTTCATTATATCTTGTGGTAGGCGTCCTACCCGCTCTCATTTACAAGCCAACAATAATCACAAGGAATCCTGGCAAGAGAACAATAATATCAGCAAACAATATCCCGGCAAGGGAGAAACAGCTATGACCAAATTTGTTACAATATCTAACTACCTCAGCTATAACCAAACTTGTTACCACACCTAACTACCTCAGCTATAACCAAACTCGTTACAACATCTAACTACCTCAGCTATAACCAAACTTGTTACGACACCTAACTACCTCAGCTATAACCAAACTCGTTACAACATCTAACTACCTCAGCTATAACCAAACTTGTTACAACACCTAACTACCTCAGCTTTAACCAAACTCGTTACAATACCTAACACAAAGAATCATCAACCTAAACATCCGTAATATCAATTAAGAACGCAATGCAAGGGAACCACAACTCAACAATAGCCCGGCAAGGGGCAGTATAATGATCTCTTCTCTTTCTCACTTTTACTTCACAATTCGTTATACAACTTGAGCCAACGCTCCTCAATGTTCATATGTCACAATTCTTTCCACAACTTTACACAACAAATAGAAATCTTCACCAAGGCATGAATAATACAACAAAGTTATGAAAATCACAATATAAGACCTACGGTCATGCTTGACACCAACGTATAGATACTCGTCACCATGCCTATACGTCGTACTCAACAAGAAGCAAATAACAAATGGGACACAACTCCTAATCCCTCAAGCTAAGGTTAGACCAGTGTTATAAATAGCGCTCGCCTTAGCGCTAATAGCGTGAGGCGAGGCGAGACGAGGGTGTGTCGCTTCAGAGCTTCTGTTGCGTTGCGATTTCAAATAGCGCTCGCTTCAGGGTTTGTGGTGTGAGGCGACTGTGTGGCGAGTAGCGACTGTAGCGTCGCTATTTTTAAAAAGAAAAAAGAGAAAGGGAGAAGACTTAAGTCGGGAATTAGGGCTCGATCTTTTTCACCTGCGAACAAAAAAACTTCAGAGATTAGGGCTTTTCACCTGCGAACAAACAAACGGTCTTTTTCAGTCTTCTTCTTCATCATCTGGCTTCATCTTCTTCAAACTTCAACAGCCAAAAAACAGAGTTATGCTTCTTCTTTCTTCTCTTCTTCTTTCTATTTTTTTTCTTTTGTTTTTTGTCGACAGAAACAGAGCCAAATAGGTTCTGTATTTGTGCTTCTTTCTTCTTCTTTTCTTCTTTCTTCTATTTTTTGTCGACAGAAACAGAGCCAAATAGGTTCTGTTTTGTGCTTTTTTGTCGAGAAAAAACTGAGGCTTTTCTTCTTCTCTTATTTTTTTTTTGCTCTGTTTTGTCTTCTTCTTTATTTGCTGTTTTTCTAGAGGCATCATAATCATTTTTGTTCTTCTTTCTTTGCTATTTCCAAAGGCAGAATCAATTTTTGGTTTTGCTCTGTGTACTGTTTCGAAACTCCAAAGGCAGAATCTTTTTTTTTGCTCTATTTTTTCTTCTTCTTTATATAGTAGAATTAATTGCATATTGACTTGATAATTTTTGTCTATAAAACAGCGTTGAAATGGCGCCATCCAATAATACTAAACGAGATATAGCTTGGAATTATGCTATACAAGGCTCGTCAAGATTCATAATTAAATGTGTGTTTTGTCAAAAAACGTATAATGGTGGGATAATTCGTCACAAGCAACATTTGATAGGTGGATTTAATAATGTAATACAATGTCCCCTTTGTCCGCCTGAGGTTAGGGAGGAAGTAAAAGCATTTGTTGAAAAGAAAAATATGGTAAAAACTCAAATGAATTATGAAGCATCGGTGAATCTAATTGATGAAGATGATGAGATGGATGAATAAGGTGAAATGGGACCTCCCCCCTTAAAAGGCCCTCTCAATCTAGTGGGTCATCCACGGCACGTACGGTGGCAAAAGGCCCTCTCAATCTTTATTTCTCGGCAAAACAACAAGAAACGGGAAAAAGTGAAGAAGGTTCAGGTTTAGAAGCCAAGAAGATTTTGAGGGATCGCGCCGTCAGTGCCTTTGCATCATGGATGTACGATGCAGGACTTCCTTTCAACTGTGTCAACTACAAAACTTTTGATAAATTCATTGAGGCCGTAGGACAATATGGCCCAGGAATGAAGCCTCCTAGCTATCATGAAGTTAGAGTAACTCATCTTAAAAAGGAGGTGAAGAAGATGGACCAAATTATTGAGGAGCATAAAGTGGAATGGAACAAGTTTGGATGTTCCATTATGATGGATAAATGGACAACACAGAATGGAAAAATGATCATAAATGTGTTGGTGAACTCTCCAAGAAGGAGTGTTTTTCTTGAATCTCACGATGCTAGCAACTCTTCTACGGATGGAAGCAAAATGTACAGCTTGTTTAGAAATACTATTGATAAAATTGGAAAGGCAAATGTTGTACAAGTTGTTACAGATAATGCTAGTGAGAATGTTAGTGCGGGGAAGATGATGGAAGCTATCTATCCAAACATTTATTGGACTCCATGTGCTGCCCATTGTATCAACTTGATGTTTGGTGACATATTCAAGGAAAACCCATATGCTTTAGGTAACTTTAATATAGTTGTCTTTAAAGCCTTTAACTTTATTTATACTTATGTCCTATCCTATTAAGTATTAACTATAAAATTGTTATTGTTACTTTTACAGTTTTCATTAAGGCCGTCAAGGTATATGCTTACATCAGTCAGAGGCCGTTGTTGTTGAATTTGATGAGGAAATTCACAAAAGAAAGAAATTTGGTTAGACCGGCCAAGACTAGATTTGCAACGACTTTCTTAACTTTGCATAGCTTTTACTTGCAAAAGGCAAATTTGAGAAAGCTAGTTCTTTCGACTGAATGGAAAGATAATAAATATGCAAAGGAAGCTGCGGGGAAAGAAGCTGCCAAAGTTCTTATTGCTCCATCATTCTGGAATGATGTCGTTCGGGCTCTTAAAGTTGGTGGTCCTTTGATTAGGGTGCTTCGTATGGTGGATGGGGAGAAAAAACCACCAATGGGCTATCTTTATGAAGCTATGGATAGAGCCAAAGAGAGTATTGCAGCATCATTTGATGGAAATGTTAGGAAATATGAGAAAGTTTTTGAGATAATTGATACCAGGTGGAACAATCAACTCCATCGACCTTTGCATACAGCAGGCCATCTTCTGAACTCGGGATTATTTTACAAGAACACTAGTGATGAAACTTTGGATTCAGAGGTGTGGATTGGATACCATGCATGTCTTGAGAAGTTGATCCCTAATTCAGCGACGATAGATCTAATAGGGGAGGAGTTTGGTAAGTACTCACAAGCAGATGGCCTATTTGGTTTACCGGTTGCCATTAGAGCCAGAGACAAAAGGTCGCCAGGTAACTAACTTTAATATAGATATCCTTATAACTTTAATTTAATTTATTTGAT